AAAAACTCCTGGAGGTGCAGATGGGTGAACCCGTAGATCTTCCCGTGGTCTCCACCTTCCTTTGAGATTTTCTCATTGAGGAAGAGGGGAAGAAGGTCTGGCTGGTCCAAGCCACAGTCCCTGATCTCCTTCTCCTCAAAGAGGACCTTGTGCTTCCAGATGCCATCAGCAGCCAAGGAGCAAAGCCGGAGAAGGAACCTCTGGAGGACCTGCGGATTGTCCCTGTCCCTGTGCTTCAGTAACTGGGAGAGGTAAGACATGGTCATCCTTGTGGTGGCTTTGGAGCACTCAAGGAGGTTTTTCTTCCTGCAAAGCTCTCGTTCAAGGATGGTGCAGACAGTCCAGCTCATGACGGGGATGACGCACAAGCTGTAGAGGATCTCATTGCCTCTGGCAAACCTGAAGGCCATGTTAGCTTTGTTGGCATTCTCAAAATATCTGTGGAAATATTCCTCCCTCATGGCTGCCGAAAATCCCAGTATCTCTGCGTAATACCCCCCCTCCAGGCACTGCCCCAGGCTTTGAAGAGCCGTTGGCCTTGTGGTGATGAGCAAAGAAGCCTCTGGGAGAACAGTCCTCTTCAACAAGCTCATCAGGGTGGTTTCCAGAGGCTTCACCTCCCTGGGGTCAGAGCTCAGCTCAGCTTCAGGCTGAACCAAGGAAAATCCCAGGGCCTCGAAGCCATCAAAAATGAACAGGATCTTCTGGTCATGCAGGATCCTCCCAGCCGGCACTCGCTGGTGAGGGCAGCACTGTGAAACCAGGTCTGCCACACTCGCTTCCTTGGGAAGGGCGATGCCTTTACAGTCAATGCAGAAGACACAGTCAAACTGCTCGTGGAGGGTCCCTTCTCCCCACTCCACCATCACCTTCCTGACCGTCGTCGTCTTCCCCATCCCCGGGGCCCCCACCAGCACCACGACCCGCGGCGTTTGCCCGTCCTCGTCGGGTCTGAACAGCGTCTGTGCGGTGACGGTGGCTGGTCCATTGCTGCTGTTGGCACATCCCACAGCTCCACACTCAGCTCCGTGCCCGCTCCAAGGCTCCCTGATGATGGTCAGGGCGGTGTAGTGGCTGCGGATGGATGGGTTCTCCCCGGGACTGGAGTCCCCTTCTCCGTCTCGGAGGAACTCCCGGACCACGTGCTCTCTGTAGTTCCACTTGTACTCTGTGCCAATGAGGAGAACAGTCAGTCTCAAGCCCAAAATAATTCCCAGCCAGCCCAAGTGCACTCCTGACACACCAACGGACACTCATTCCAACGCTCAGGGCTTTCCTAAGTCTGGCAGAGGCAATAAGAACATAATCTGTGAGGGTTTAGGGTTGCAGGGGTTCTTCTCCTGGGTGCCCTCAACATCCTGATCCACCAACCCCTGTTTCAACCGTCCTCATCCACCTGGGAGCAAATGCAATTGCCCGGGGCCAGCTGCAGCCTCTGTCCCCTTCCACTCACGCTGCTGGGGACAAAGGCACTGTACCTGGGCTCCTGGGTGTGCCCCTGGCTCCAAAGCACGGAGCTCTGCAGAGATATCCTTAATGCCCATCCCAGGAGGAAAGGATCTGCCTGCCTGGGAAGTGCTGAGAGCGCTGGATGAGCTTTAAAGTCACTTCCAACCCGAACCATTTTGTGATTCCATGATTTTAAACAATGCGTTTATCAAGGAGTTACAAGCCTGTGTAATTCAGTGCAAGGATGAGCTGCCTGGACAGAGGTGGTGACACTGGCCCCCAGCACTGTTCAAACTGGGAATGCCCAGGCCCACGGCAGCAGGGATTCCAGGCTATTCATAGCCCCTCCTGGGTAGCTGGGCTTGGATTTTCACTGCAAGAACTTTCTGCTGCCAGGTAAACCCACCTTGGCTGCTGCAGCAAGTCACTCCACTGTGAGAAACGTCCTTCATCCTGCTTTCCCGGGAGTTCAAGGGAAGGAGAAATGGCTGCTGCCCAAACAGCCACTGGGTTTTGCTGCTGTGTAGCCCTTTCCTCCTTCTCCAGCCGTGGGTGGGTTGTAACTGGGGCTCTAGGAAAGGAGAGAGGCTCCTTTAGGAGCTTTGGATGCTCAGGGATGAAATGAGTGTGAGCCTGTGCTGTGACCTGATCTCCTGGTTTTCCTGCTCTAGTTTATGGACTGGGTACCTGTCTGGATTAGGAGGGGGTAACCCTCTTGATGATTTTATTTTCCATGAGCGATAATTTTCTTTCCATGGTGGAAAAACAAAATGCTTCAAGATGATGTGTTTAGCAAAGCTGCCTTTGAGGGACACTGGGGAAGGGAGAAAGGATGTTTTAAGGCACATCGGGATTTTAAGGACTCCTTATTGACTCTTTATTTCCCTGCTCAGAGTCAGACATCACCATGTCACTCCTGCTTGCAGAACATCAAATAATTCTGGGAATAACTGCTTCTCTCTAAAGGAAATGGTCTCAAGTTGTGCCAGCGGAGGTTCAGACTGCATATTAGGGAAAATTTCTTCACAGAAAGGGCTGTCCAGCCCTGGCACAGGCTGCCCAGGGTTTTAAAAGCCAGGTGGACGTGGCACTTGGGGACAGGGGTTAGTGGTGGCCTTGGCAGCACTCGGGGAATGGCTGGACTCGATGGTCTCAGGGGGCATTTCCAACCTGAACAATTCCACGATGCTCTGTTCCTTCCCTAGGACGCTGCTGCCCCCAACATCCCCCAGGGGGTTTTGTAGGGGGGCTGCCCAGGAGCCAGGGCTGTCCTTATCCCTGCTAACTCCTCCTGGGATGTGGTGTGAGCCGAGAGAGAGGAGGAAAATCCAGCAGCACCATTTCTGAAGGTTTCCCACTCCCTCTGACCTTGAAAAAGCCATTTTCACCTTGCTGTGTCTCGGTCTGGACTGCTGCTCACTGTGCCTGTGCCGCGTTAGGGGGGATGTGACCCACTTTTTGGGGGTCCTTCCTGTGCCTGGTGCCACAGGATTTTGGAGCCCTGCCTAGCTCTGGGGCTACTTCCCTGCCTTCTCCTCTCTGCCATGGGGAGGGGTGGGGGGGAGGTTACTGTTTTTACAGCTCATTTCCTTTGCTTCCCTTTTTCCTACCTCAGTAAAACACATTTTTTAAATTCAGAATTTAAATATAATGTGAACTCGAGTCTGAAGCCTCTGAAAGCATCACGTGGGGCTGTTTATCTCCTGAGGCAGAGGCAGCATGTGTGAACACAAGGAAACTGCTGCCAGAATCCCCTGGCCTCGGCTCATCCAGGCTCTGGGGAACGGAGCCGGCGATTTCCACTTGCAGGAGGCTCCCTCCCTCCTCCTGCCACACTGAGGATATTCCTGCCTGATACAGAAGTGGCAGAAATGCTTTACTAGTCCTGGAAGCAGCAGTTCTCCTGCACTGAATCATGGATTTCCACCAGCTTTGCAGGAATTCAGCCCCTCTCTGCTGCTGGCAGTAGATCAGCAAATTTGGGAGGCGTTAGGAAGGGGAAGCAGCTGTTTGCAGCCATGGAAAGGTCCTGGCTGTGCCTGGCACAAGCCCCTAAAAGAGCAGGGAGTGCTGGCACCGCTGGGTGCAGGACCAGACAGGGAAGACAGGGAACATCAGCATCAGCCACACCTAATCCTGTCCATGTCAGCCTGTCTGAGCCCAGCTGGCTCCTGGAGCCAAGGACTACAGCAGGATAACCTTGTTCATCCCTGCTCCATGGGGGTATGGAGAGCTGCACCTGAAACCAGCCCCCGGAAGCACAGCCTTTCCTGGGAGATTTGGGTTCTTGCATCCAGCTCCTTGTTCTGCAATTCACTTCAAACAAGGGCAGAATTGTCCTCTACAGTGGGATTTAAGCAGCCTGAGTACTTTTAGGCATGACATGCACCTGGCTTGGATCTGGTGGGCAGTTTGGCAGAGCCAGAGAGGGTCAAGGGACAAAATCCTGAATTTTCTCTGGAGTTTCAGCCCTTCTGCACTGAGTATGTCCATGGCTGAGCTGGTGCTTGGCTGTCATTCATGGGACAGAGGAAACTCAGCGAGCACAGAGGTGAAGTGAGTTATTCTGCAGGCAGCTGAGCTGACAAAGTTGTTTCTCATGGATTTCTGGATGTAATCTCCTTAAAATATCAACTCTTTGTCCAAAATTACATGAGGGTTGTCAGTGGGTCCCAAGCCACTGGGAGGAAGATGGGCAAGCAGCGCACAGCCTGATTTGCTCTGAAATAAGGGCTAGAAAGAGCTCTAGACAATCCCAGAACCTGCTGCAGTTTGGGATGCAAGCAGGACGTGACCCAGTCATGGGAATTTAAGCCCTGTGCCTGGCTGGAGGGGTGAGGCTGTAACAGGGAGGGCTCTTTGCTTTTAGCTGGTGTGGATGAGGAGCAGGCTGTGCCTGGCAGTGCCTGGCTGGATGACAGCGCTCCGCAGCGGGACCGGGCTGTGTGCCCGGCTCCAGTCTGGCCTTGGGCTGCCTGCAGCCTCTCCCAGACCTTGTGGGAGTTTGGGAAGGGGGGGCAGACTCCAGCACCCTGGGGTGAGGGGGAGTTTGGGGAGAAGGGCAGCAGAGATGGCACAAAACTACTCCAAGGTGCAGCATTTCAGTGTCCTCCTTCCACTAAGCAGAGCTTCTCCTTAGCAGTACAGTTTGCTATTCCTGAACTCCCTGCTGGGGATCATCTCACTTGGAAATCCCTTATCCTGGCCTTTTTCCTGTGGTCTACACACAGGTATCCCAATTTATCAGGCTGGCCCCCTCCCATTTTTCCTCCCCAGTATGTCCCCCCCACTTTGTTGCCCTGTTCCCCGTAATTGCTGCAAACCCAGGCAGGATTTGGAGGAGAAAGAAGCAGAGCAGGCAGAGGGGTCAACACTGCAGGGACAGCCCTGAACTGCTGAGCCAGCTCAGCCCCAAACGACAGGGGATGTGGAGATGCAGCTGGGCTGCCTTAACCACCCTGCGGCCCCCCCTTGGCATCCTGCCCCCCCTCCCCAGATCCCAGCCCTTCCCTCCGGATTGGAGCGCCCTCTCCCCCCCTCCCTGCTCTCCATCTTCATGCAGTCTGCAGAGGTGCATTGTGGGAAACTCCCAAGTTTCCCCCCCTCCTCTGCCTGCCTCCCTCCCTCCTCTCTGCGCAGAGCCAGCTCCCAAGGTGTGACTCGTCCAGCCAGAGGACAGAGGTACGGGATGGCGCTGGGCCGGGGGGCGAGGGGCGGAGGGGCCGGGGGTCCTGGCCCTCGGCAGGGGGATGTGCAGATGTCCTGCCCGGGGTGACAAAGCGGAACAGAGACACGGAGCTACCTGCTCAAGGTGAGTGCCCAGCTCCTCGCAGCCGCCCGGGATGGAGGCCGGGGGCTGCCGTGCCGGCCGGCTCCGGAGCGGGGACCCGCACAGCTCTCCCCGCCAGAGGCAAAACGCGCCTTTTTAACCCAAAACAAGGAGCCCGGTGAGGATGGCTGGCCCCTTCCCGTGTCTTCAGCTCCCATGTTCTGCTCCCTGAAGGTCAGGCAGCCAGAGAGGGTGTTCCTGCAAACGCACGGGAGCCTCCCGCCTGCTTCCTGCCTGCGGCTTCCCGCTGCCCCCCGTACCTGCTGCCCCCGCGGGCTGTGCCGCGCTGCCGATCCCGCTGACCCCGCCGGGCTCCGGAGAGGGGAAGGAGAGGGCCCAGGTGCGGCAGGAGCGCTCCGGAGGCAGAAGGGCTCAGCGGCCGGGGAAGGAGCCGGCCATGTGCCGGAAACAGGGCTGCTGGGAGGGAGGAGGGGGAGCAGCATCCCCGGCTAGACCGCTCCAGCCTTGGCAGGGAAGCTGGTACACCTCCCTGCAACGTTTTGAGCGGTTTTCCCAGCTGTTTTTTTTTTCCCCTCCCATCTGCATGGGTGGTGGGATTTGCTTGCCCTTCGCTCTGCCTGGATTCCATGGCTCTTCTTTAATTCCGTCAGTGCTGAGGCAGGAGGAAAGCATGCCCAGGAACAGCCAGCACTTGGCTCAGCCTTCACCTTTTCCAAGGAAAGGGGGATGTTTTGTTAGGCAGGGGGGCTTTGATAACAAGGAGGGGGGGTATCCTTTGATACCTGGCTTGTGCTGGAAAGGAGCTCACAAAGAGAAATCTGCCCCCCCCAAAAAAAAACCCCAAAAAACAACCAAAAGGAGAAAGACGACAGAGCCAATAAGTGCCTATTTTAAGGGAGAATATTGCATTGAAAGGGGTGGGAGGGAGAAGGATACCAGACCAGGGCTCCTGAGTCACAGTGTGTGCTTCCAGGGAGGAAACGCTTTGGGAACGTCTCAGGCTTTTCAGTCTGATGTCCCTGCTCTCTGCGCACCCATGTGCATCCCCGTGTTTGCAGGGACTTGTTGATTTATTTGCTCCTGTTTACTTCTCTGCCTACCTGGTGGCTTCTGGGGAAGGGGAAGGAAGAGGATTTTTAAAATTGAATCGAGGTCAGCTTGGAAAAACTTGGGTATTGGGACAAGAGGAGGAAGCCCCCCCCCCCCGCGGCCGCCCCCCGGCACAGCCCCGTTTTCCTGGGTGGGGCTTGGGCAGGATGCCGTCAGGAGAGGGAGGATGGACTCCGCTGGATTAAGCTCCCTGCTCCATCTCAAGCCTGACCTCCAAAAGTCTGACCTTCACAGGTTTGACCTTCAGCGTTCTCCATCTGTCCTTTCCCAGCCACGGTGCTCAACACCAGCCTCTAACCCCGTGATATTGTGGAAGGATGGGGGAAGAAATCCCAGATTTCCTCTGCATTTGGATACTCATCCCTCTGCATCCATCCCCTCCGCTGGGGGCTGGCGAGTGCCCTGGCACAGTCTCCCCCTCCTGGATTGGGTGTAGGGACAGGCAGACAGGGCAGAGGGAGGGATGGAGCTCTCTGGGCAGGGATTTCTATGCTGGAGGAGCTTTGGCCATCCTTCCCAGATCTCATTCCCAGCTTTCTGCAGGGAATGAGAGCGCTCTGGTTTTGCTGCACAAGGGAAGGGATGGATTTTACCCTGGAGCATGCCAGGAGCCTGCCTGGAAGGTCACTGCCTCGTGTGGAATTGGCCCCTTGTCTGCCTGCAGTGGCTTCTTACGTTTCAGCTGCAGAGCAACAGTTTCCAGGCTGACGCCTGCAGATCCGGGGGCTGCCAGATTCCAGAGCCAGCTCTGCACGTGTGGAATTGCCTCCAGAATCTTTTTGCTGGCCACAGCTGAGCTGCAAAAGAGGTGATGCCATGAAAGCCTGGTGTGATCCTCCATCAGGCAGAAGGGATGGGTGCCCATAAACTGGGGAGGGATGATAAATTTTCTACTGCTTCTTGCAGTGGTTGGGGTTATTTTACTGTGTCCCATACACGCCTCATCCTTTTTTGCTTGAGAGTACTGAATTTGGGATACTGGCCTCAGGAAGAGGCCTTAGAAGCAAGATCTGTCAGAAAGGAAACCAGCCTTCTGCAGCTGGGAACTGGCCTGTGGCTGCTCAGAAAGCAGCACCCCAGTTTGGAAGCATCTGTCCTCTTGCCAAAGGCTTTTCCCAAGTGCTGGCAGGCTCGGGGTAAGAGCAGTGCTTTGTGGTGGGAAGGAATGGATGTCCACCCTTATCCAAGAGGCAGGGAACACTTGCTGACCCTGTCATGTCATCCCTGAGCTGGCACCACAGACACAGAGCAGAGCAGAGACCCGAGGCCTGCCCCATGGCCCCAGCCAGGGTGTTAGGATGGATGTGGGAAATCTCTATTCCCTGGGGAGCATTTTGGGGGTGTAACCTCCCTCCTGGGCTGTAACCTCCCTCTGCATGGTTGAGCAGAGCCAACATGGTGCAGACCTGCAGGGGCTGGAGGAGGGAGAGTCGCTGATGCCAAGAGATGGAGCTGTGCTTGGTGGGGTGATTTTCAATAGCAGGAGGCTCCTGGGCTGGCTTCTCCTGGACTTTGGGGCTCTGGTGACCTGCCTTCTGGTGTCACAGGAGATCCCACACTGCCCCCAGGAAGGGCTGTGCCACCTCTCAGTGCATTAACTCGTCCCCGGTGCCACAGAGTCCCTGGCATTGAATTTTTGGCTCTGGAAGGGCTGGAAAAGCATTATAAAAAACGAAAATGAGTGTGTTTGGAGAAGGCAAGACCTGAGGAGGTGCCCAGGGTAGGGTGCAGGATGCACCCAGATCCCTGTGGGGTGTCACACTCGTGGGTTAAAGCTCCATGATTCCTGTTGCTGCTGCACATCTGCTGCATCTCCTGAACTGTTCCTTATTGAAACCACTCCAGTGCTTTGATACAGTGTCCTGACAAATAACTGCCACGGAAAAAAGTCATCCTGCCTGACAATCCTTTCCTTTGTTCTTTGAATTTCTATCTTGGGGTGAGGGGTGCTCAGTTCTGCCAGGGAGAGGCTTAAGACCTACTGAAGGGTAAAAGCTACCATTTTGTTCTGCTACACAAAATAGAACTGTAAAGGGGGAAACAGCATTTAGTTCTGTGTCTGAGGGGGGATCAGGATTAAAGCTGGGCCAGCACAGCAAAGTGAGGTGCTCTGAACCCTCTTCTGGGGGCACGTGGACTGTGTTAGGGCCCTGAGGAGCCAGGCTTTGCAGCAGGGTGTTTCCAACCCAATCTCAGCAAACTGTTTTCACATCCTCTCAAATCCTGGAAATTATTTTCCTGTGAGATGTGTCCAAGGGTGCAGCTGCACGGCAGGGGCTGGTGGCACTGGAGCGGGTGACCAGGCGGTTGTACAGCCTTGCCAGGTGTGAATCCTCCTGCCTTCAGCAGGTCAGGGCCGTGCTGGGTGTACCTCAGTGCCCACCCCTGCGGGCATCAGTCGGAGCACATGGCTGGAGCACAAAACCTCCTGTTTTCCTGTTTTGGTAATGCCTTGGTTTTGCTGTGTATGTGGCTGTGTACAGGCAGGGGGGGCTTACCAGGGCAGGTTCGAGCTGTGTTTGGGGTTAAAAAACCCGAAAAGAACAAAAGCTTAGCCCCTGGCAGGAGTGTGGTGTGTCTGCAACGCCTCCTCCCTCTCTCAGAGAATAAAATGTCTGCCACGTCCATCCCAGGAGGCCTCTGGGGACAGGATGTGTGTGGCTTGCAGAGGTGGCACTTGGCTCAGAACTTGTCATCTGCAGAGGTCCTGGTGTGGGAAGAGACCATAAATGTCCTTTCTCTGTGCTCTTCCTGGTGGGGAGTCTTAAATGCTGTGTCACCTGTGTGGGCAGCGTGGCTGGGCAGCCTCCAGAGAGGACACTGGCACCGGTGTTACAAGCCACCTCTGTGCAGTTGGTGACCCAGGGCCTGCATCCCACAGCCCTTCCCTTTGCAGCAAAAGCTGCCAGTTTTGCTGGGCCACAGGAGCCTGTCCTGTTCCCACATCTCACCTTGGTGCCAGGTATAACCCAATCGCCCGGGCTGGGAGAGCTGACACAGCTCAGTGACAGTGGGAGAGAGGAGGGGGGGATCCTGGCCACGCTCTGGGGGCTGTGGGGGTGGTGGATGCTGGTTTTTGGTCGTTGCCAGCCCCAGCTGGACCAGCTGTGAATGTGCTGGGACTCGGAGCAGCCGCAGGAATGCCGCAGCCACGGAGCAGAGGCTTTGCTGGCAAATCTCCCCCCGTGGCAGCAATTTGAGGCTGCTGCCACTGTTAAAATACTTCAGCATCTGACAGTCTCCATGTCAAGATTCAAAGGGCTTGTTTGAGAGGGAAATGTTTAATCCAGGGCCGGGGAAGGGGAGGGGGGGGATGTGGGGAGTAGCAAACAACAGATTGGGAAAAGGATTCATAAATATCTCATCAGAGTGAAGTGGGTCAATGGTGTTTGCTGTGACTTGGTGCTGCTGTCTCCGAGGGCTGGATTTGGGAGGGCTGGGAAGCACAGCAGGCTCCTGCACAGCCTGTTCCTGGTGCACTGAGGCTGTTTAAAAGCATCTGTGACAAGTGACTCTGCTGGCGTGGTGCTTGCGTTGTGTTTCATCACGTTTGCTGTGCTTTGCGTCAGGAGTGGGGGGCTGAAACAGCCTGGGAGGGAGCTAAAACCCTCCTTGGGGAGCTGCTCACGGCAGCTGAGCGAACACAAGCTCCTTATGTAAAGCTGCTTTAATATTTATGGTAATATCAAGAGGCGGTGCATTACCTCATCTGTCTTCACAGCACTTCTTAGGGATGGGAAAGGCTTAGTCACTACTCTGCCATCACTCCTCTCGGGTGCTTGCCTGGCATCTCCCTGCCTTTAACGTGTTTGTTCCCTCAGCAGCTCAGAAAAGGGGAGAAATGCTATTTTTCCCCCATTGGAACTGGAGAGTTGAAGTGCTGGGAAGCCAAATGTGCTGCTCAGTTGCAGGAGGAGGCTGGGAAGGGGTAGGGGACTGGACACAAATCCTTCCGGCCCTGACAGATCACTCCACATGTGGCAGAGGGAGCAGGCACAGACCCCTGAGGACACTTCCCGAAGGACAGGGTGGTCCCAGCTGCATTCCTTAGGGGTTAGACAAGAAGGTGGAGGAGAGCAGGATGGGGAGAGCGCTGGGAAAGGAGCTCCCTCCCCTGTGCCAGAGAAACGCTCAGCCACCTTTGGTGCCAACTGGTGTTTCCTTACGGAGAGCAAAGGTCTGTCTGCTGCATGCACAAGTTAATGAGTGCCTTTTTTCCAGACATGTAGGAATGGCAAAGAAGGGAAGAGGAGATTAGGGTATAATCTTAGTCTTTCTGCCATCTCTAGGTCTTTCTGCACAGCACTGCTCCAGCTCAGACGTCATCCATAGCTATTTCTGAGATGGATGGTTTCAACCAGAGGGCACCTGGAGTGTAGGGGTGGACCTTTGGTGTGGGATAAATCCTGATACACAACCCCATTGTGTTGGTTGAATCCTTCCTGGCTGACCATCTCAGTGTGGCAGCTGAGGACCCGATGGAAGTGTGCTGCTTTTCATAAAAGAGGGAAAACCCTATGGATGAGCTTCCTGCCACACCCCACACCCCGGAGCAGCTGCTTGGTCTTGCAAAGTGGCTGACTTTTCCTTCCAGACTGAAGCAGGAGGGGAATATGAGAGGATGTGGGGATGGGATGGGGCTGGTCCCTGCAGAGGGAAGAGGCATCCTGACGGAGCAGTGCTGTGGCACAGCTTGGCAATGACTCATCTGCTCCTTCAGAGCAGGATTGATGCAGCTTTCATCTGCGCACGCAGGAGACAGATGAATAGATGTGTTTGCTAATTTGCTGGGAATTGAGGCAGAAAAGGTGCCCTTCAGGGAGCCAAGGAAAGCTGTTCTCCCCTTTGCCTGTTGCTCAGGCTGAGGGCAGCTTGTTGCGCTGGGTGAGTCTGACTGCACTGACCTTGAGAGCTGCAACAACCAGGAGCATCCCAGGAGAGTTGTGGTGTTTGTGTGCCAATTCTTGCAGCAGCAGGAATTTGGAAGGCTTTTCTTTTTTCATTTTTCTCCTTTATTCCTGGTTTTATTGTGCCTGCTCCTTTTTCCCAGCCTGAGAAAGAGCTGGTTAGCTGCTGGCAATGAAAACCTCCCTGAAAGGGCACTGATTGTTAAACAGAAATGGCATGGAAGGGGGAAAAAATGAAGCCTGTCTCCCACAAAACCTTATTCCCAAGTGCTGCTGCCTGTGTAGGAGGCAGAGACAGAGCTGGAAGGGGGAGGAATGGGTAGCCAGGCAGAGACAGCAGCTGATGAGGAGAAGGGAGGAATAAATAGATGAGAGGAGCTACAAAGAAGAAAGCAAAGGTAGAGAAATGTGTCATTAGAGAAAAAACTTTGTGTGATGGAATGAGGGAAGAAGAGGAGACAAAGGGATGGAGGGGGAACCCTCATGTGCAGGTTTAGTTTTTGGATATGAGAAAAGCACCTTTCTTTTCAGTCTGGGGTGGGAGACAGAAGTGCTAAAGATCAGCACGTGGTCATGCCCATGGAAGTACAGGAGTGGAGAGTGGAGATGATTCCCAAGGCAGGGAGTCTGGGAGGTACTTAACAGCATGAAGAGAGGGTTCAGTACTGTGATGCAAGAGGATGTGCTGTTAAGAGTCCTCAGTGTCCTGAGGAGCAGGAGGAGTCAGGCCAAAGGGTCTGGAGAGCTGCTGGGCAATCCTGTGGCTAATTCCAGTGGTGGAAAATCACAGACAAAAGCCCTTTTATGTGGGCACTTAAGAACTGGAGATATTGATTTTTGGCTTAGTTTGGTTTCTACATCTTTTAAAACCTTTTCTGAACTGTGTGAAGGGTTTGCATTTCTTTTAGATGGAAATTCACTTAGAATCAAGAAATTCTGTTTGTGGCAGTGCAGGGCATGGCAGCAGGACAAGGCTCCTTGGCCCAGCATGGGCTTCAAGCAAAACCAGCTCTCCTGGTCCTAGGAACCTGGAAATTGGGTCAGTGAGGGCTGTGGATAAACTATGGGGTACTGGGGCTGTGCAGGGTCCCCATTTCTCAGCAAAAAAGTGAGTTTGCCTTCTCTGTGATTTACCCCATTTCCATAGGCTGCACATGGCTTTCCTAGGGAAAGACCAGAATTTCAGTGCTTGGTCCAGGTACTATAACCACATGAATATCAGAGTGTGTGAGTAGCCCAGCTAATTGATATCAAAACGACTAAGCAGGTAATTCAATATTTATGCCACGATCAATCCGACTCTTCCTGCTTTAACCTCTGAGCCCGCTTTAGTCAGGGGCTCCACTTACTATTTCTTTGTGTCCTCTTTGTGCTGGGTGGAAAATGAGGCTAAATTCATCCCAAACCAGAGGAGCAGAGTCCTTGTGAGTGACTGTGAGCAGCCTCAGCCCTGGATCCATGTAGGATTTGTAGTGACAGAGCAGTAGGGATGCTCTCTAAAAGCAGTAGAAAAAGGTGAGGCAGGTGATATCTATAGAAATATTACAAAATGAGCAGTGAGAAGAAAATACTCTTGCACTTGGCCAGGACTGTGTTTACTTCTCAAGTCTCAAGCCACAGAGAAGGTCTGAAGCTTGGTGAGCATCTGGGATGGTGTTTGTGTGGTACAAGGTGCCCAAGTGTCTGATACACCTTCAGCGATGTGTGAGGGGAGAGCGGTGGAGTCTGGGCTTTCCAAAATGGTTTAATATCACAAACTCAGAAATGCAGGTACTGTCCAGCTGCACTCCATGAGGCTATGGGGTTTTTATGGTCACCAGGCCTGGTGCAGCGTGAGGTGCTGAACTTGAAAATCCTTGTGGGTCCCCTCCAATTTAGGATATTCAATGAGAGCTATGGAATTCCGTGATTTTGGTGCAGCAGTTCCCTCAGTGGCTGACCTGGAGCAGCTGGTGGCCACTGAGCAATGGCTTACAAGGGAGAGCAGGAGAGGGGGCTGTTTCCATCTCATACTGAGCCATAAAGTGATGCCCAGCTTTGCTCTAGACCCAAACCTGGCATTTTTGTGAGCAGGTTTCCTGCAGGACAGCGTTCCTGCCTAGATGGACATGAAACCACCACATTTGTCAGCCGATTTTCCGGAAGAGTCAGCAGCACAGACCATTGCTGCAACCTTGGGACCTCCTTCCTGTCATTAGAGGAGAGATGTACACTCTGAGCCGCTTTGAAAGGGATCTCTTTTTGTTGAGGTTTTTGAGGAGCCTCTTCAGCTCTCAGTCCAGACAGGTAATAAGCTCCGATTTCCCTTAGCAGGCAGAAAGCTCCCAGCAGGCTCCTGGCAGCCCTGAAGGTCAGTGGGAGGCAGTGAAGCCGGCGGCTCGGATCCCACCGCTGCCTCTGCTTACTCATTATTTCCCAGCTTGGAGTCGATGTGGTGCTGCCAGAGCCTGATGGCAAAGTGCCCAAAGTGCCCAGCGCCGTGTGCTCTCCTCCATCGCCTGGGGGTGTAGCCACGGGAGCTCCAGCTCTGGATCACCCTGCCCTGCCAGGTTTGGAGGGGGGAGGATGTTTTTGTGGTGGTTCTGCAACCCTTTGAAGCCCACTTCCCAAACTGAACTTGGGATAGTGCTGCAACAGGAAGCGTGGAGGGTGAGACATGAGCAGGGAGGAGCTATCGATCCGCTTTCCCGTGGAACAAAGTGCTCTCTCCTCACCCCACAGGAATGGTAAGGGTAAACAAATGCAAAGTAAGATCTGTTTGGTTGGATGTGAATTTCTTATCGCTGGCACCACATACACAGCCAGGATGGACTTGTCTCGATTTGCCCGGTTGTGGCAGCCATAGATCACAGTCAGTCCGACTTGTTTAATGTTCTAGTTTGGTACTAGGGAGAAATTCTTCCCTATAAGGGGGATGATGCCCTGGCACAGGTTGCCCAGAGAAGCTGTGGCTGCTCCATCCCTGGAAGTGTCCAAGGCCAGGTTGGACGGGGCTTGGAGCAACCTGGGCCAGTGGAAGGTGTCCCTGCCCATGGCAGGGGGTGGGACTGGATGGGCTTGAAGGTCCCTTCCAACCCAGGCCATTCTATGGTTCTGTGGTTGTTGCAGATGCAGTCTGTAGTAAATGCTTTGAATGCAGCTCACAGTTCCAAAAGAAAGAGCCAACAGTTTTCCAGTTTTCCTTCCTGTCCTCCCTCACCGCCTCCAGGCAGAACAGCACTGGCTTGCTCTGTCCTGTCACTCAGCTCTCATTGCTCTGCTTCCTCTTCCAGGTGCCGTATCATGTCCAGGTAGGACAGTGCCAGCGTGAGAATCATCCCAAGACAGCTGCTCCAAGGGCTTGAGCTCGGGTGGCTCCTCTGCTTCCTCCAGCAGCCGGGCAAAGGAGAGGAGCTGGGACAGCCCCGAGCGCGTGGCATCCAGTCGCTGCCCAGAGCACTCACAGGATGGATTCCAAAGGCAATGTCCGAAGCGGAAACAAACCCGACGCCAAGGCCGCCAGCTCCGGAAAGCCAGAAAAGCCCAACCCTGGGCCTGCCACGAATGCAGACAAGAAGGAGGTCCCCAAGGAGCAGCCCGCTCCTGCCACCGCCGCCAAGAAGGCGGGTGGTGACGCCGCCGTCGCGAACAACCACAGCAACCTGAAACCCAGCCCCGCCGGCACGGAGGCGCACGAGGCCACCGGCCAGTCCCCTGACTCTGACCACAAGGGAAACAGCTCCGAGGAGTCACCGGGCAGCTTCTTCGACAACATGAAGCCCTTGATCATCGTCGGAGGGGTGGCGGTGGCTGCGCTGGCTGTGATTGTGGGAGTGGCGTTCCTAGCCCGGAAAAAATGAAGACCGAGACGGGGTGGGGATGAGGAACCCAGCCCAGCTGTACAGCTCCTTTTGAGACAAATGCATGCAGAGAAATTCTATACATAGCTATATATATAGAGAGCGAGCTAGATAGGTCAACAACAAACACCAACTGCAACTTCAAGGGTCTTGTTCAAGACAACTGTGCCAGTTTGACCCAGTGTGGGTAACTCCATGCACTCAGTGTGTTCTTTCATGTAATATATCTTGGCTTATACCACTGTGTATAGGTTACAGCTTCTCCTCGGTGTAAATGACGGTGTCCCCTCCCCTCCCTCGCTGTTCTCCCTGGGAGACACCCCCACCTCTCTTGCAGTCCCCTGTTTTCAAGTCCAAAGTGTTCTACGTCCCATCTGGAGTCCCCACTTTGTGTTTTGGTTTCTGTTTGGTTTGGTTTGAAGTTGGGTTGTGGTAAAGAAGACGGAAGGGGAGAGCCAGGGCCCAGTTCGCTTGCCGCGGTGTGTTGGGTGGTGTTTGCCCAGCACTCCTGGGGCAAGGGCAGGTAGAAGGCAGCTCCCTGACCAAACAGCAGTGTGTGATCTCTAATAGGTGTCTCGTGTACCTGCTGCTCATCAAACCACCTCTAATCACCCAACTGGGAAGTGCCCCGGAGGAAAAGCTGCAGTCGAAGGCTGAGCCTGAGCCTGGGGTGTCCCCTCGAGTCCCAGAGGGGCCGTGCTAAGTCCCCTGCTGACCCCAGGCTGGTAGCAGCTGCCACCTGCTCTGTTCCTTGCACGTTGGCAGGCAGCCTTTAGGATCCCAGGGCTCCCCAGGGTCGTATGGGCAGCGTTTGGGATAGAGAGACTTTGTTTTGGATCTAGTATTTTCTAAAGTTAGGCTGCAGGGTGCTGTGGCCTCTGCCCAAGCTCCTTCGAGGTCAGATGGACTGTTTGTGTTCATTTTTTTGGGCTTTAGATCAGGCCTTTCACCAGTATTTTTCCCCTCTGAAGGGTGTAGTCTCTCATTAGATGGGAAGACAGGAAAAACCAACATGAGTTGGTTTTAGGGGCAGAGAGGACCTGAGAGCCCATGAGAGTAACACTGACCTGCTTTATAGCAGGGGAACCCTGTTCAAGGGCAAGTCTGCCCTGGGGGGATTTCTTACCTCCCTCCTGTCATAGTAGCAGGGATTTGTGACTTGTCCACACTTTGGAAATGGAAACAAATTCCCAGCCCTAGGGATCAGCCTGGTTTCATGGGTGAGTATCTTGGCTCTAAAGCCAGACCCTGTGAAGGGGAGAAGAGAGGGTGTTAAGTGCTTTGGTTGCTGCTCTTCTAACACCAATGGTGTCCATTAGGCTTCTCTTGGCTGCTGCAAAACAGAGTCTTATAAAAAGACCTTACATTGTGCTTTTAAGTGAGTCAGAGATTAGATGGGGTCAGAGCCGTGGCATCTGGAGCTTGGCAGCAGCCGCAGCCCCTGGGCAGGGTTTAGGGGGATGGTCAGTAAGAGGCTGTGGCAAAGAGGAGTGAGTTCAGTTCCAGAACCTGTTGGGCACCTTTAACTGAGCTGGATGTATGAACACAGGGGGTGCAGGGCCAGAGAAAGGTGCATGTTCCTCGGGTGCTGCCCGTGCAGTGTCTGCCTCTGGTAGAGTCACTGAATAGCATGGTGGGAGTGCGTAACCTGATCTGGAAATTCTTCTCTTGGCTCATGTCTGTCTTATTTACCTCCAAATTTGATCTGCTGAGCGCACGTCTTCCCCAAACCAAAGGTCTGGTGATGCAGCCTGACCTTTCCTATGGTGAGCTTTGTCACTCTCTTTTTCCCAAGGCTCATAAAATATTCCCAAAGGTGCATGGCCTCTGGGAATATCAGATGCTGTGTTCTGATGACCAAGATGCAGCTGAAGGTTGGTGCCTGCCTCCACCTGTACCAGTACAGAGACAGGGGTGGGCATGTTGGGTTCACAGGGGCTTTGGGAAGGAGGGCTACAGCTCCAGGCGAAATGCTGGTAGCCTAAAGCACTCTAGGCATGCACTGTGGATGTATCTCCTGGTGGCAGGGTGTCACTTCCAGCCAGGGGAATGGTTTAAAGCAGAAGGGTCCGTGGTGGGGTGCTTCTCTAACCACCACTTTTCTCTAGAGATCTTATTTCCCCTCGTCCTGTTGCAGATGTCCAGAGGTTATTTCTGAGCTGGGGGGGAGAGGAGAGGACAAATGATAGCAAAGGAACAGGAAAGGTGTTTGGAAAGCAGAGATGGGAGAGAACGAAGCTCAGAAGCAGCCCCTGCTCAGCTCCCTTGCAGTGACTGCAGCACAGCTTTGGCAGAGGACACAGAGAACGGGATGTGCCCAGATCCTGAAAGTGCCCCAGGCACATCCTTTTCCACCCTGGGGAGAGACCCCATTCCACACCATAGTCCCTCCTGCTCGGAGTCACATTTTGCCAAGCAGGGTGGTGATTTTCAGACAGTGACTTCTGTTTTCAAGAGATATTTCTGCCTTTCCTGTCCTTTCCCTCCCTCTCAGCCCTGGCCTAGGATTATTTTCAGCAGTGTGTGACATTAGACACAGCATCTGTCTGTTCTGCCCTGACCAGCACAGGTAGATCAGGGGGAGGAAAATGAAACACCTGCTTCATTTGAGTCTCCAATTTTACTTTCTAAAGTGTTTTTATTTCCTTGACTTAACCTTTGCCAACAGAAGAGGGGAAAAAACAGTTCTCAGCCAGCCATGGGCCTTAAACATTTCTCCACCTCCAAACCCTGCCTGCCCTTAGAGCACTTGGATGCAAGGCCACTAATTTCATCCAGAAACACACCACAGAGGTGCTGATGGGGCTGCAGCTCCTCATCTGGGTTTGTCACTCATTTGAACCCTCCCTGCACAACAAACGTCGTATTGCCTGTTTGTAAGGGATTTTTGAACATGGTATGTCCTGTTCCCAAAGGATTTTCCACGTCCTGTGATCACTTAAGAGTCTGCTGTCCAGATAACCACCTCTTTGGCAGTTCAGTTTGGAAACACCTGTCTCTGTGTGTGTGTGTGTGTGTGTGTGTGTGTGTGAATACACCACCCTGCCTTCGAGAATATCCTGCCCATGTGTGTGTACATACATATGTGTTGTATTACTGCAGTCTGGGGAGGGGGAGAGAAGCCAAGCTGGAAATGCCCCTTCCTTCATTCCCTGCATTCACACAAAGTGTCTGTGATGTCTTTTCTGTGCCATTCCCACCATGTCACGCAGCGCCTGAATTCCTTTTCAGTCCTGGTTTCTCCTCAGTGCAAAGAACGTCTGGCTAGTGAACTGCTGAATGTCCGATGTGCCCGCTGTCCTAGAAGCTCCAGATCCCTGTTCCCCTCCCTGGATAGTCGTGTGGGCTATTTGCTTTAAAACAAGGCACTTTTAGACTATACTGGACTGTGCTGTAGCGCTTTTTGAAGTGTGGGTCTAGTGTTGAGTCGGGTAGATCCAGTGTAGATGCCACAATGCACCTCAGTCCTGACTTGCAAACACATCCCGTCCTGCCTTAATGTGCCAGGCTGTGCAGTGCTTTCCTTTTGAGCCAAAAACGTCCAGCGAGAACTAGGCTGAGAGGGCGAATTCCCCTCTCCCAGCCCCGAATTTGTCAAAGCAGGAGGCTGAACTGACTGAACTCGCTGTGCTAAATAAATAGTTGTCTTTTCTCGTACTGAGCACACGCCGTTATTTGCTTGACGTTCTTTTTTTGTGTGGTGTTTGTGGTATGAAGTCCTTCCAGTGCCATCTCCGTGGGGAGAGTGAATTATTAACGCTTACAACTAATCAGATTCTGTGCTTGGGGTTTGGAGAGATCTAGATTGCTAGTTTACTCTTTTCGGTCAAGTTGATAAATCATAAATTTGCAAAATTGGTTTCAGACCTTTTAGCTTACCACTAAAACTATTGATTCAATGACTGCACCCCGATCTCAGTCTGTTTTTAAGGAACCCTAAGTTTTAGTCGAATGCAAAGATGTCATTGCGCTCCCTTGGACAACTCGGCAGAAGGTTTTCGCTGCTTCTATTTTAGGAGAGATGAGATGGATTACGTTTCTGCTTCCTCTTCCTATTGATTTAATACCCTGTGGATAAATCCTGTTATTCCCAACAGTGCTGCAGTGGGATGCAAACAAATGTGGCAGCCAAAGGATAACGCAGCAGCATTTTTGGGAGGGTAAGAACACGTTCCTGCAGGTGCTGTTCACCCAGGGCTCACTCAAAGCACTGAACAGGCACTTGCCCTGAAGCACTTCTTAGTTCCCTCGAGTTGGGTTATAAATTAAACATGGGTTTTTGTCTCTGCTGGATTAAAGTTTAGGGGATGATCCATAGAATACTGAAAACAAGGGGAGTTTTTCCGTTGTTTTCACCATGCTCTGGCCTTTGAGGTCTTGTTGGCACCAGGGATATTGATTGCAGGTCATCATAAAATCTTATCAGTCACACTTTTTTAAAAAAAAATTGACACAAACATTCCTTAGCCCTTCAGCTGAGCGTGAGGAAAGTCTTCTCTGAGGCAGCCATGCTCACAGCCCTGATTATACTAACATCAGGATTTGTGCATAAACAACAACAGTGCAACCCAAACCCCTGGAGTTAGTGAGAGATGATTTCTGCCTTAAAACATTCCCTGCTTTTCCTGGAAATGCTACTGGGGTTTGGAATTCAGCAGCCTTTTAGCTATTCTTAGAATTGGTTGAAAATAACAGTGTTGAAGACTGGAGAGAAAAATGATGCTTTGAGAAACGAACCAAAAAAGGAAGGCAATGAAAAAATGGATTTGAAAGGTGAAATTCCTGGAATTTCAATCAGCTCCTTGGAAAGCTTCAAGTCAGCGAAGACTCTGAGAGTGTGCAAAGAACAGAGCAGAGAAGTGGAGAGAAAAAAAGCACTATTTAATTATCTTAACAGTTTTGGTAAGGACATGTTAACTTTTATAACCTATTCATTTCTTTTTTTTCTTGGCAAAAAGCAAAACCGACCAGCTCTGACACCGTGCAAATTAACCTCTGCTAATTGCCTTTTCCAGATGAATTTTTCCTGCTGGTTCTGTGCAATGTTAACGGGTTAGAGAAATACCTGAAGTTTTCTACAACCAGCTTTGTGTGATTAAGGGGAATTGCCAGGACACTTCGAGGGGCTGCGTTCTCTTTTCGCGTGCTTTGCTATGACAAGGGCTGAAAATCCAACCTGCTCGCACTTCCATCCTCTTAGTCCATGCCTTCCTGATGGAGCAGGGATGCCGATTCCCTTCCTGAGCTGTGTAGCATCTTGCTGTGGTCTCATTCCCTTCACCACGAAGCCGGGAGATATCCACAGGGGTGGGCAAGATGCATTTTCATGATGAGGCCCATTTTGGGTGGTCCCCAAAACAAACAGGCAGTGCTCGGCCCCCAGACTTTGTGGCACAGCAGGGAACGTACGAAGCTTCCGTGTGCCCTGATCTATGAGGGTCTCAGTCTGCCACAGGATTTGTACTGGATGACAAACCCACAGGAAGGTCCCTTCCTTGTCCTAAGGTGTCAGTGAGGTGTGAGGTGTTGGGGCTGCTCGGGAGGTGCTGACACAGCGTGAACATAACGCTGCCCTCGGCTGAAGCCAGTGCTCCTTCAGTCCTCCGGAGCACCAAAAACACGTGGGGAGGAGAGATTCCGAAGCCAAGGACCTGCATTTCTGCTGGCCTGGAAGGATCAGGTGGTGTGCCAGAGTTGAGGACACAGAAGCTACAAGGATTTTCCCATTTGGATGGGCTGCTCGGGTGTTACTGTGTGACACAGCACTGCGGGACCGCTGGGCCTTGACAATTCACAGTTCATTCAATTCACCGTAATAAGCTCATGCCCAAAGCCCCAAAGTCCCGTGAGAGATCAGAGCCATTGGATTTCCAAATGACTTTGGATCTAGCTTGTGATAGAACTCTGCTTGCTCCTTTGGACAGCAGTACTGAAAAACATAACTTGGGTTACATGAGCTTTGGAACCTGTTGTTCCTGTTTCTCTTCCGGTTGCTCCCAGTTTGAAAATGACAAGCAATTCCATTATTTTTCCAGTTCTCAGCCCCAGTGCAGCACCCCGAGCATGAATTTACAGGTTATTGCTGTCTGCGTGATGATGCAGTTCCCACCAGGACAAGAGGAATCTTTAATCACCTTTGCAACAGTTAAGTCCTGCATCATATCCCTGGTTTTGCCTCAACAGCTTCAAGCAGCCAAGTTTTTGGGGCAAACTGATGAGAACAAGGGTGCCACACAATCTTGTCATGTTAAAAAACAACAAATAAACAAACCAACAGGGGAATAATTTGGCTTTACTAAGTTTTGAGCAGCCTGGTGCCTTTCCCCAGGACCATTTCAATTGAAGCCTTTAAAAGTTGCAGTTTCAGCTCCCCAGGAAACCAACTCTCTTCCGGTGGTAGGTGCAGGTTGCCTATAAATTTGTGCAGAAAAACTGTAGGAAGGGAACTTGAAGGTCAGATTACAGGGGATTTTTTCCTTTGCTTTTGCTTTGTTTGGAATCTGCTACTTCTCCAGGGACTGATCCAAAGCCCTTGGAAGTCAGATTGAAGGCTCAAATGCTGGGAGCAGGGAAATGCCTGCTGCTCCTTTGGAAGCCTCAGGCATCCTTCTGAGGACTTTGGTGGGGTTTGAGTCAGCTCCTGAACGTGTTTTCCAAATGATAGGAACTTTCCGAGTGACACCTTGGTTTCTTCCCTGTGCAAACAGACCTGCTTGTCACTTACACGTATTTACCTGTGTTCAACATACAGGTTTGGGTTGTTTTTTTTTTGCTCTCGGAAACAATATGCTGCTGGACACATTTCCTGGAGGGAAATGGACACCTACCTACACACAAAGCTATCCAGCTAATTTATACCTTGTTGAATTTATAATCTTGTCTATGCTTCTATGGACACTTTGTATGGGCTGCAGCTCAAATCCTAAAATAGTCAAGAATTTTTCCTTTCCCATATAGTATTCTATTTACTTTGACTTTAAAAACAAAAAAAGCGTATAAATGCAATAATGCAGGTAGACTAGAAATACTAGATTGAAAATTTAAAGTAGTTTAGCTTGTCCCATTGTGACTGACAGTGTTGTGTGACACCCAACGCTGTACCCTAACATTTTCCAGGCTTTCTCCGTAGCTGAATCTAGTATTAGCTTTGGAAACCCATTGTGTGAGTGGTGGGTGGATGGGTCGGAAACGTGTGCTCTCTACACACTGTATGTTACTCACATCACAAGCTGTATGGTCACTCCATATGCTGTGAAACTGTAAATGATTCCCAAATACACCTGTAACTCTTACCAGGATTGTGAGAAATAAACTATATATAGATATATATACACACACATAGAGATATTGTATAATTCCTCCTGTGAGCATCTTTGTGTACGTGGGGGTGCCAGTGAAAATGCCTGCGCTCCCTCTCCCTCCTCACTCACGGAAAGTTGTCCAGAGAATCTGCGGCTGCCCCATCCCTGGAAGTGTCCAAGGCCAGGTTGGACAGGGCTTGGAGCAACCTGGGCTAGTGGAAGGTGTCCCTGCCCATAGCAGGGGGTGGCACTGGATGATCTTTAAGGTCCCTTCCAACCCAAACCATTCCGGGATTCTATGTCCATGTTTCCTGGAAGCTCAATATTTTCTAGGATTAGTGGTCCCACTGAGAACTGTGAGAAAAGGCAGTTCCTGCCCCAAATAAACTCCAGCCTGCGCAAGGAAAGCAGGCAGAGGATGGTTATTGTTATTCCCACATTGGAACTAAATAGGATTAAACATTTACCCAGAGCCACTGAGGAAACCTTTCTGATCCCAGGGATTCCCTGTCCCACCGGCTGGTCTCCAGTTCTTTCTCTGACTTCTTCCCTGCCCAATTAGGCTGATTTCCTTGGTTTTATTTCTAGGATGACCTGAGAACACCTTTCCTTAAAAATAAACAATAACAATCTCCTGAGCACCTGAGTGATCAATTCCCTCCAAGCTGTCGTAGGGCAGGAGGATTTTGGCAGCACGTGTCACTGCAAAGAGTTGATGTCACATTACCCCAGCTCCCAACAGGGTCCCTGCAGAAGTCTGCAGGCTTTTGGAAATTAATTTGTCAAGAACTGGGAAGAAAAATCCTGTAAATTCCATGGGATTAGGAAAAAGGGGCAGCTTTCAGTTGCAAAAGCATAATTAGCTGAGGTTTTTGCTGCAGAAATACAGCTGAAGACTAAAGTTTTAGGTTGCCTTAATAGTCATAAGAACAGGAGAGCAAATAAATTCCTGTTTTCTGAGTGGGAATGATGAAGCTGAGAGGCTGGAATGGGTGGGGGCCCTATCTCCCATCCACATGTTCTGTGTCCCATCTCCTTCCTTCGCTCCACATATTTAAAAAGAGAAGGAAATTTTAGCAGAAGACCTTTTGCAAAACGTTTCTCCGGCAAACCCAAGGCATTGGCTCCTGCTGAGCAGTGGGAGATGGAGTATTAAGATATCACTGTACACTTTAATCTCCCTGGGCACTCTCATGCTCCTTAATCACTGTCAAGTCCTCTAACACTTTGTATTTTGTGCAGTCTAGGGAAGATAGGAAGAGCTGATGGAGCAGGGGTTGAGATAGCACTGGGTTTTGTATTTATTTCAAAAGCACTGGATTCACAAGCAGGGAATAAGGAGCATAAATGTGATGCCATAAAGGCTTAGGCTGCTAGAGTGGCACTAAGTCCCCAAGTCCCCCACACAACAGCTAAACTGAATAGTGGAATTGCTTTGGGTTTGGTTTTGGTTGGTTTTTGTTTGTTTTTGTTTGGTTGGGTTTTGTTATTGTTTGTTTGTTTGTTAAAAATAATTTTCTGGTATCTAACCTGGAGCAAAGATAGAGGAATATCCAGATATCTCCACAGTTAACCAGCCTATGGATTCAGAGCACGCTTTGGAGAGAAAAGGAGATGGACAAGATGGCATGAGCTACATTTCCTTTAGGAAACCAGGCTAGAAATTAAGCCCTTTCAAATAAACAAATAAAAATAACAGCAGAATTTTACACTCTTTATTTTATATCTGTCATTTTGCAATGGTTTTGTGCCTGTAATACACCAGCAACCAGCAAGGGATGAACTTATTAAATTAACACAGCGATGAAAAATGCAAATCCAGAAACTGAACGAGGTTTACAAAAAGACTTTTCCCTGCAGAAAGGAATGACACCTACAATAAAGGAACATTTTTATTGAAGAATAATGGCTAAGAATGTATGGAAAGGGGGCAATCTGGAGCAGAGATGAGGCATAGAAAGGACAGCTTCAGGGAAGTTTGGGTGACTTGATTTAGTTTGTGGTTCTGGTGCTCATTCCAGTGGCTCCAGAATATCACAAAATCACAGAAACGACACAGTTCTTCATGTTTTTCCCCATTATTATTTTCAGCAAACCACTCTGACAGATCCATGTGTATCTCCTGCCATCCCACAGAACATGGTCAGTTGTGACTTTTTCAGGGCTATGAAAGAGCAGGATGTACATCTGTCCCTCCACAACATCCCTGAGGTTATTCATCCTCAGGGGGAGAGGGAGCAAAACCTGAGAGATGTAAATAACTTAAAAAATAGTGTAAGCCAATAACAGCTGAAAACAGTGACTTAAAACCAGCTTTGGCTTGTCAAAGGACTTTTGTTCCTCCTTATCTCGTGTCAGTCGCAGAATAAACCACACTCTGTTGGCTTGGGGTTTCTGGGAGGCTTCTGGTG